GCAAATAAATCGGGTTGTGATGAGAGAGGGGTCTGTTTGTCTTGGATGTGAGCGCACATGTCTTTGACGGCCTCCTCATAGGCGTCGTGATCGAAGCCCATCCGCTTGAAGTACGAGTTGTCGCTCTCCAGGCGCTGTCGACTCTCTTCTCTGGGATCCATGAATCGTGAAATACATTCTTCTATTTGCACTGACATTAGCCGTACATTCTTCGACGCCGGGAACCAAAACGTCGCGAATATCAAGTCAATCGTCCCGTTGTCTCCATTTAGAGGAGGCGCCAACGTTCCTAATAATCGCATTTTACAATGTGATCAAGCACAGTTTTATTATATTTTAGCAATAAATTGTATTACCAGTGGAAATAACCCTCTGAATGCCTCCCCCATCGTGTACACCAACATGTCTTCTAAACCTTCGGCGAGGTTTGAATATTCTGTCGTAACTGATGGGTCGGGTGTCGTAATTCTGGTTGTCGTATGAGTTGTCCGAATAGGGCTGACGTTTGTATTGGTATTCTTGATATGCGGGTTGATATGACTGATACCCAAACTGTTGTTCATTATCGGTTTCCTGAGGTCTATTATCATAGAAATTATTTGACACCATATTCTGTTGGAGCCATTGATAACCAATAGCCGTAAAATTGGTTGGATTTGAAATGTTGTGATCTCTGGAGTCATATATAACCGATACATTCGTTGAACTTAAAGCTCGTAATTGTGTAAAAAGTGTTTCATTAAATCGAAGTTTACAAAAGTCAGCCCTAGAGTTGTCATGAATTGTTGTCCCTTTAAACCATAAATAATTATATTTAGAAATATAAGTTTGGAAACATTGTATAGCTAAATGAAACAAGTACCTGGTGCTATTTTAAATGTTTGAGCATCTGTTTTGACGTTTGATGAATTGGTGTTATTATTTGGATGCGATTGACACGAAGAATACCAGAATAAAAAGAGATCGCTTGGACTGGTTGTGGATACAGTGAGTGGTGAGGATTGGGTACTGATTAACATATCTATTGGTTGTTTCAGTAATTGTTTTCCATTTCTTCCGTCGAGAACTGATAGCTTTTAGTTAATCAGACAAAATATTAAAGCAAGTACAGTTATTACTTTAACATTATATTTACAGTGAATTATTATTTATTATATTATAAAACTAATAAACAACAGACATACCTGTGCGCTATAATAAACTGGAAATCCTGGACCAAAATTGTTGAGAACAACGAAGTCAGGAGTGGTGTCATTGTTGAAGAAGCCGACAGCCGGTGTGCTGTATGTCTCAGAATTAGGAAACTCTGTTCTCCAGAGCTCTTTGAACTCGAGTCCATCGAAAGCAATGACCGTTGAGTTAAATAAAGACATAATTATGTCGAGAATGTCGTCGTCATTGATATCGATGAGCGCCGGCGGAACCATCACTCCTTTGCAGCAATCCTTGTATATGACTCGCGATCTCTCCATTCGCTTATTCAACAGATCGTCGAATGCAATGGCATAGAGGGCACCGGCATGTGTCTCACCACCCGTTCCGTACAGTATTAGCAAACTGTTATCGGGATGGATCAGTAGTTGCGGTGAATAATAACTCTCTGATTTATCGGGAACTAAACTCCACGAAATTATTGCACCTTTTAATTAAAGTAGGAATTAATTTATATGACAAACTTTGTTGACTCCTGTGGTGGACAGACCTGTTTTAGCCGACATTATCATGAGTCGACCGGGAAGTCTTGTCCTTTCATTAGGTTTCCTAAGGGGGTCTCCGCCGTGTATTACTGTTTAACAAAATTTTTATAGAATTTTAATTAAAATAACAACATTAAAAATATTGTATAAATATTTATGTTTATATGAAACACTTGCCGACAATATCTTGTACCCCATCCTTGTCTATATCTCTAGGAATATACAGCGGTGTATAAAAATTTGAAGTGCCGACTATCGGGTCCCTAGAAGTAGGGTCAACGGACCAAATTATATCTCCAGTTGAGCCATCAATTGCATAAAGAGTCTACAAATGGCATGATTTGTGTCACAACTGTAATAATTAAAACAGATTGCAGTGAACTCACGGCCATCCGTCCTCCCAGAATACAGTCTTTGATGGCATCACCATTAATATCATTATTACAATTACTGGCAAATAACTCGTGAGGAGTGTAACGAATCCACAGCTGCTCACCCGTGCG